GTCATTTATTAACCGATTTGGACAATTTTTATTTAGTTTGAAAGGGTATACTTCCAGATTGGTCCCATTTAAGTTTCAAAAAAAACTAAGACTTCAAACAAAAGCACTAAAAAGTAAAAAATAACTGATTGGTAGTTTTCATTTACTATACATACCAAATCAAATATTTTCGAAGTCGGTGTGCTTTGCTTTGTATGGGCTGGCACCGATTTCGAAAATATTTGATTAGGTATGTATTTAATTAGGTATGTATTTAATAGGTAGGCTTTAATTACTTAGCCAAAGCCTTTTATTTTTTTCTTAAAAAGTTTTTTTATAGTACACACTAAAAATAATAAAATATAAAAACCCGACTGCGGTACAAAGTGAACTAAGAACAGAACAAGTTGACAAAAGTAAACAGGATTACGTAGTTGGAGACTTACACACACCTATTCTAAAACATTAACATATATATGTATATCTCCGACTGCATAATACTATGTTTTTTCGTCAACTTGATCTCTTCTTTTTAATTCACTTTTTAAGCAGTCGAGCTTTTTTTTATTTATGTTTTTTTTTATTCACAGCTTTTTAGTTTAGGTCTGTTAGTTTTTTTTTGTTTTATTTAACAATTTCTTATCCTAAATTACTTTAAAACATATAAGTTGTTTATATTTTTTTAATCGCCTCTTAAAAACCTGTATTTTGATACCCCACTCGATTTATTGGGATAAAAAAATGTTTAACACACAAATTGACGCCTAAGATCCGCCATTTTGATTTTTAATCATATCATTATATCTTTATTATACTAGCGTTATCAAGACGAATCAAATGACGTATGAATCATCAAAATCGGTTGAGTCGTTTACAGGTACAGTTCAAACACATAACCCTCTTTTGGACTTCGCTGCAGTCGGATAAAAATAACCAAATTGTTTTTTAAAGGGGTCATTTTTAGTGATTTCGTAATCACAGGAAATACAAACGGTCATTTATAAATGTAGAAATGAAAGACATGTTTTTGTGACATAACACTTTTATTTTTTGTCCCACTCGATACTTAAAAAATACGAGCTGAGGTGTTGTATTTCCCCGTCGTTAAAATAAATTGGGTAAACCTAAATATATACTTAAAAATAAAATGCACATAAAAATCTGTTTTTTATTCCAAAATAACTTCTGAGCTCATATTATTAGGTTAAGTTTTAGTAAGGTTATTCGCATAATGCCTAACAACCATAAAACATCCACGCCAAAGTATCATATTTCGGATTGGAGGTACTTTGTTCCTATTAAGTATGAAGTATTTAGTCCCTATCAAGAATAAGGGTTTCGGTTGACTTTACAGATAATTCGGGCGAGGCTGATATGGGCTATTTTCATTATCAAAACAGAGAGCAGAACCACAGTCCAAAGTTAGTACTTATATAATGAATGCTTCAATGAATCAACCTTTAAAAGAATTTAACTCTAAATTTCCCCATAAATATTTCATCGGCAACTAAAAATAACAGTAAAAGCGTTGAAACTATCCAAATATGACTTTAACTCAGTCTAAAAGCAATGAAATATTTATGTTTATGAAGATGGATTTATAATAATAAAAACGAGGCTAAAATTTGACGAGTGCATGTGCGCAGTAGACTTCTGCTTCAGCGGGTGGGGGTTCGATTACCTGTTAACTTATGTTTTAAGCTTAGATACAAATATTAAAATAAGTATTTATCGTTTTATACTATTTAGTCCACTAACACTAAATAATTTCCGTCTTACATATTAGGCTTACATATTTTAGTGTACATATTTATTATATACTAGCATTGCCCACGGCTCCGCCCGCGTTAATATGACCAAAGCCAAATTCTTAGGTTTTATATATTAGTATACTCGTATTAGTATATTAGTTGACCCGGATAACCAGCTATTACCATACCAAATTTCTTCAAAATCACTCCAGTGATTTTTATGTGATGAGGCCACAGACAGACAGACACACAAAAATTCTTAAAACTATTGGTTTGGCCTCTGTTAGCGATAATAATGTGTATTTCAATAAAATTTTCTAAAAAATATTTAATGTACAGATTTGACTTAGTTAGAATTTTATTATATATACTTATAGACTAGCGACTAACCCTCGCTTCGGTCTGGTTCGTACCTAGGTTAATTCGCCGTACAAACTTTTATCGCCATTTTTACTCCCTTAAGGGATGATTTCCGGGATAAAAAGTATCCTATGTCCTTTCCTGGGTCTCAAACTATCTTCTTACCAAATTTCATCTAAATGGATTTAGTAGATCCAGAGATTACCCCCTACAACGTCACAAACTCACAATTCACAAACTTTACCTCTTTATAATATTAGTATAGATATATGACGGAGGAGGATTTAGCCACCTTTTTCTGCTAGAATGTGAAATCTTATTGTTTAAAGTCACTATGTTATTTAGTTTAATTTTTCTTGCTTTTAAAGTTATTTTCAATTTAGTGCAGAGACTACGTCTCGAGCGGGTTCGAGTCGCCATCATGACAGTCAATGGAGAAACGTGTCTTAGTAACGTTGGTTGATCATGGTGGATCATAGAGAGTTATGTTTTGATATTGTAGTTTAAAGTCGATGATTGATGTCCCAAATTCGCTGTTGCTCTAAATCATTAGAATTACCGTTTCCAGTTTATTATATTGTGATTTCCCTGATTAAATTATTTATTGAGCATTGAATGCTTTATTATTTGAGCCCTGATACCGCCCACAAGATTAGTAACCAATAAAGATGAGGTTCGTAGTATATGGATAACACGACATAAATATATTAGCGCCTTACCCCGCTTCGCTTTAGGGACTTTACCTAGGATACGCGGATTTTTTTCACAATCTTATCTTTCAATATCATAAAGAAATAATATTTATTAGAACACTTACACAAGATAACAATAACATACATAAGAATTTTCCTTTTGAAGCATGATCATTTTGGAAACGTAGTGAAGGTTTTAAACCTTGAATCTCGCATTTCAGTGCGAATCTCATTTTCAAAATGACTACTTATTTCTAATAAGTTCAAGGAAAACATCGCAAGGAAACCCGCACGTCTAAGAAATCCATAGCAGTTTTCAAAAGTGTTGTATACCGCCAATGCACGTTAGGTACATTTGTCCAGACATGACGAACTATGTGGCTAAATCGCCCTTCTATTGCAACGAAGCAAATATCTTGCAATGACATGTTAAAAAGGAATCATTATAATAGAAACTTATTCAGTAACACTACTTTATTGACACAATACACGAACAAAGCTGCAAGCGAAAACTAGTTATAAGTCTAAAATATAGCCTCTTTTACCCCAGTTCTTCTTGAATATTTTTTTAAGCTATTGATAGAGTTTTAATTTCCACTAAATGAATAATATTGTTTAATACTGAATACAAATAAAAATTACAAAAAATCACATGTACTTCCTTTATATATTACTAGCGGCTCACCCTCGCTTCGTTTGAGTTCACCTCTAGAAAAACAAAAAATGAATCTATCCCATGGGAACCGTACATTTTTACGGGATAAAAAGTCTAAGTGCTATTCCAGACTATAATCTATCTCTGTGCCAAATTTTATCCAGATCCGTGTGCCGTTCTGGCGTGATGGAGTAACAAACAACCAAACATCCATCTAAACATTCACAATCATAATATTAGTAAGATATCTTTATTTATTTATGACTACCAACTCACCCTCGCTTCGCTCGGGTTCATCCCTAGGTACTTTTTAATTTTTTTGAGCGGAGCTCTAATTCTTTTACTGAAATAAAAGAAACCTAAGTTACTCCTTATAACATCAACTACCTGTCAGTGAAAGTCCCGTCAAAATCGACCCAGCCGTTTTGGAGATTAGCCGGAAAAAATAGATAGACAGACAAAAATTTTAAAAATTGTGTTTTTCTTATAAATACCATACCTATATAATTCCATACGCATTTAGTAAAAAGCTGTTATTTTGACATTACAAACTGACACTCAAGTTTATTTATCTGTATAGATTTAAAGGTAACACGTAGAGTACCTAAAGCACTATATACAAGAAATGAGAATCAATTTTTCCTTGATATTATTAAAGTATCTTAGATATAAATAACTGCCAGAAATTGGGGATAAGCCAGGAGAAATGGCTAAGAGAAATGAATTTAATTTTATTTAATACATAGTACTTCGTATTACGTATAATTTACGTAACGTACGTATAATATATTACATAATTGTACTGAGCCCTTTTTAACGTCCCACTGCTGGGCACGGGCCTCCCTTTAATACGAGGGGGATCAGGCCATAGCCGACACGCTGGCCAAGTGCGCGTTGGCCTACACATGTCTTTCCAAAACTTGCTAGGTTCTCGCAGACATGCCGGTTTCCTCACGAAGTCTTCCTTCGCCGTAAGATAAGTGGTAATCACAAGTTAGAAATGATTCGCACATGAAAATATCAGAGATGCGAGACCCGGGATTGAAACCCGCTTCACTGTTTCCCAAGCGAGCGTGTTACCACTGGGCCACCCCTGCCTTATAATATATTTCATTAGTCTCTTCAATGTTTATTTACAATTTTATATATTAATTTCAGAAATCCTGAAAAAAATCGACAAAGAAAATATTTTTTCTGTTTATATTAAATGTAATTAAATATTACTTATGTAATTCAACCTATGTATGTATGTTAAGGAAATAAAAGGCTATCTTATAATTATATTAATTTAAATGGCAATTCATTGTAATTAATCTCCAAAATTCAATCATAATACCAATAGTTATAAACCAAAAAATACTTAAATATCAGTGCTAAAACCTTAAAAATCTCTGTTAAACGTACATTTTCCATATAAAACTCATTTTTCCATACGCTATCAACCCTTTATCAACGAAACAGTAGTGGGGATACGCAGAACTCGACTTATAATGTACAACGTCGCGGCCGCAGTCTCAAACGTAACCGTGGTTTGAACGGAACGTCGGTCGGTAAACAATAAAGATGTGCAACGTATGTACTCGCGAAGTTGAACCGGCGCCTAAGCCAGCACCAAAACCGAATAAGACCGTGGAAAGGATGAAGAAAAAGCACAACATCACTACCAACCCTTCTGATGAGGAGAAGCAGAAAGAAGTAGCATATCAGCCAGACCTTCTAGCTGTATCCACTCAGTACTCCAAATTGGCTTACGATATTTTCAAGCAGTGTGTTGTTAGCGTGCAGGAAACTAAGGCTTACGCGTAAGTGTTTTTAAGACTTTACTTTTAAGTTATACATATTTTTTTAAATAATTACCGCGAAATTTTTTATAATTTTTTTATGTCTGTTGAACTTGTAAAAAATGGAGCTTTTCGTAATCTTTAAACGCAAGTTTTTGCATTGTCGCTGTAATTTCGTAATATTTCCATTGAATATACAATTTAACGATATCCGCTATAGATATGTGCTTGTAGTATTCCGTCTGTAGTTATCTGTTTTTAACACGTTCACTGCGTCATCATTTTGAAAGAACTTTCAGCTGGTGCTTTGGAGACCTAAAAGATCTCGAAACTAGCCTACCCTTTGGTGCGTTAGAAATCTAATCAGTCTCCTAAAAATACAGTTTTGAAAATAACTTATATCTTCCAAAAAACTAATGACATATATTTTAAAGTTTTTGTGGGTCAAGAGAGCCTATTGCTCTACATTTTGCTAGGTTCGCACGCAGTTATGACATTAGAATAAGCTACAAATACCAAAAAAAAATTAGATATCGATTGTATCTCGTACCGCAACCGAAGATAGTTCAATATGTGTAGTAAGTAGTGATGGGAATAAAATAATATCTCAGTTGTCGATTGAAAAAGTTTTATTAAAGAAGTTTATTTATAAACTATGCAAAGTGTTTTTCATTAAAACATAGTAAGCACATTGATTATTTGCATTGCGCGCAAATGGTATTTTTTCAGCTTTTTTTAGAAGCGTCAGTGCTGTTTAATGTGCATCGTAATTTTTCATAACAACCCACACAACGTCTTTTTTTGTCGCCACGTTGGAAAACATAATCTGTACATCTTCCTTCGGGAATTCTGTAATAAAAAGCATTATATTTTCCAAAATTGTAATTATACTGGACGATGCAGCACTATAATAATTCTTAGAAATCTCACCAAAATAAAACAATTTTATTAAATAATTAAATAAAATATATTAAATAAAAAAAATTTACACTTTTTCGAAACGTGCGCGCAACCTCCCACGTCGACACTAGGACAACACTAAATCGATTCACACAGCGCCCGCGCCCACCAACCTCCCTTTCTTGCGTCTACGAGGCGTACGATTCCACGAGTATCGACATGTCTCCTAACGCAAGGAATAAAAATAATTATACTACTGTGCGTTAGGGACCTAATCCATCTCTATTTATTTTTTTTATGTCCTCGAATTCACCTTTAAGTAGGAAGCAAATATGTATATTTGTCTTACTCATACTTAAAGAACTTTACACGTTAGAGCCTCCCGCAAGGAGTGAAACAACACGATTATAGTCAACGCACAGTACAAAAGTCCTGCAAGAGATCTGATAGATCTCGTAATGCAGCGAACGTGTTAAATTAATTTTTATTTGAGGTTTCTTAGTCGATTTTTAAGTATAATTTACGATTATACGCTTGTACCAAATTTTACATACTGTATTTGCAGAAACAATCGATTTTCCGTAAACCTAACTAATGTAAGGCAGTAAAATTAGCAAGACTTTCTCTTATCTCGATAATAATTTCAATAAATAATCGTCTATTTCTACAGAGAAGCTATCTAAGTAAACTAATCTTAGTTAGTAATATTTTATTATATCTACAAACAATCCATTTATTAGCATTGTATTTAAATAAAAAAACTTAAGTAAACAGCTTGAAAACGTCAAACAAAACTTTCAAACTTCACTTACTACTGATCAAACAAGACTTACAAACAATTTGCATAGATGACGTATAATGACGTAGAGTTTAAATTATGATAGAGTTCTGCTGAAGTAATTTATTTGAACGTAAATGAATCAAGGCTACGAGTCCGTTAGGTTTGCATTATTCGTCACGCTGTCCGTGCCAGGCGGTGGATTGTTTTAAGACGGGGTTTTTGATAAGTGATTCAATAAGAAAAATAACTATATAAAAACTTAAAAGAGGCAAAGCTGTCTGTATATATCTAGATCGTAGCCCAGTGGTAACGGACTCGCTTGGAAAACGTTTAAAGCGGGTTTATTGGTACAAGTCTTATGAGGAAAACGTCGTTAGGAAACCTGCATGTCTGAGAGAAGCAAGTTTACAGATTCATGTAAAGTCTGCGAACCCGTACTTGGCCAACGTGGTGGACTATAGCCTGATCCCCCTCGTGTTGAAGGGGGCCCATGCCCTGTTGGCACGTTAAAAAGAACTGAATATGAAGCTTTCTTTTAACTCTCTCTTGAAATTTTTATCTGATCTCAATGAAAATGGGCACAGAGTTAGCTTATGTTTTATTTGCATAGGTTGTTTACTTACAGCGGGAAACAAAAAAGGGGAGGAAGACGAAAAAAATTTAAAAGACAAAGACAATATAGTTACTCTACATTTTGAACTCTACTTAAACGTTTTTAAGCTAATTTTTGGGCTTATAAGGCTTATAAGTTCTTGTAATTTCAGCCAACACACAAATTGTAACAGTAACACACAGTACCATAGCACCATTATTTACCTGGAAAAAAAAAGAAAATATAACATAAACTGATAAGGACTTTTCTTTCAAATTCGATAACACTTAAACGTAAATGTAATCTCTCACTCTGTCGTATATATATCAACAATATCTCATATTTAATATAAAAACTTGATAACATTTATAAAAAAATATCTTAACGAAGCCTTTTTTCATTTAAAAACAAATAACGCTCTTGCTCTAGTTATCCATAACAATATTAAGCAAAATGTGCAAATGTGTTCAATCCCTCCACGACCGCGGACACGCCGGCGTTACAGTTAACAGTAGATTTCTTAGAATTTTAATTAATTTCTTAGAAATTTACCTGGAGGTGTTAATATTTCTGCCAATAATTTCTTACTCTGCATTATGACCAACTTCCTCACAAACTGTTGTATAAAACTGAAAGGATTGGCCTTGTCTCTGCATCCGGAACAAAAGCATGACAATAATACCTAGTGTCTAAAATCTAATCCAGCTATCACTCTAAAAATATTATTATGCTAATTATATATCAATAATATATGAATTTTACCAAAATATACCTTTTTAGGGTTCCTTCATAACTCGTCTAGCAATCGTTTTTATCGTTTACTACAGCCATAGTGACAGAGTCAGGTGATGCAAAGTCACATAGAGTAAATATATAAATTGTTATTTTGGCGTGTATATGAAAACTTATTTTTGTTGCCAAATTTGAAAATTGGTTTTACTTTAAAATTACAAGAGGATTTATACTCCAAATATTGCATACCAAAATAAGCTCGATCTAAATCGTCTTTATAGCCAGAGGGCGTTAAAATTATCATTTTCACACGTAAGTTTATGACAAAACAATAATTTCGGAAATAGCATTTTCGGTGTCGGCTCTTTGCCAGTCATTGCTCATGAAGAATATATTTTGTATAGTACATAATGTGCACGTAGCTTTTACCGGTTCGTGCTGTAATTTTTATTCACTAGTTTCAGCTCATGGTGTTGCTTGTCAATACCCAAAAACAGTAGATAAATTATATATATATATATATATATATATATATATATATATATATATATATATATATATATATATTATATATTAATTTAATACAACAAACGTCGTTGATCTTTAGTTTTTGAACATAGAAGAGTATGTATACTAATATTATAAATGTAAAAGTTTGTGAGTATTGATGTATGTTTGTTACTCTTTCACGCCAGAACGGCTGAACAGTTCTGGATGAAATTTGGCACAGATATAGATGATATAATATAGTCTGGAATAACACATAGGATACTCTTTATCCCGTAAAAATGTACGGTTCCCGTAGGATAGGTTTGTTTTTGATCAAATTATTGTGTTCTCATCCAGATTTCACATATTCACTTTACGACACTCAGAAATAAGTTACAATCGACTTCTAAAACTTCATCACATGCCCAATAGTCAATAAGTTAATCAAGTTTTAGTTAATAAAATCATTTTCTATCACTTTTTATTAGAATAGAGAGCTACTTTCATCAGTTATTCTTTTATATAGTGTATTAATTTGAAAAACAAATTTTCAAAAACAACATTTTTTTTGTAATTTCAGAAATTGTTTTTCCTAAACAATTTGTTATATGTACAAATATTTTGGAAACGACCCAATTCAGCTTCGAGAAGGTTAACGAGTTTATATTTTAAATGACTTGTCGCTGCCAAAGCTGTACATCTTTGATAAACCTAAAATACTTGACGCTATCTTGTATGGACATCATGAAAACGTATCTGTAAATCTAACTACAATAATTTATCTATACATAATATAATAAAATTCTAAATCGAATCTGTATATTAAATATTATTTGGAAAATCTAGAAAAATAAAGATCTCCGTAATAAAAATAGCCATATATTGTAGGTATGCAGTAAATAGTGCTACTGGTATTTAAATTGTATGTCAAATGTATAATTTTAATGATTTATTAAACGTATGGTCACGCAATGCACGCCCACACTGTAATATAATCGAAGAAGAAATTAAATGCTGTTCAATATTTTATCGAAATATATATCGTCATAAGTCAAGACATAGGGGAAAACGAAATTGTAAGACAATCTTTTAATCCTAACAAAAAAACAACCTGAAATGGCAAAAAAATCTTTTACAAAAAGCATCATCTAATAATTATAATCATTATTTTTTAAACAAAATCATTTAGTAATTATTCCACTTTTAAAGGTGGATAACCTGTTTGTTATAATTTGAATTTTACTAGACCGATTTTACTGTTTTCAAATAAATTATGACATCCAAACTTATATTATAAATGAGAAGTAACTCTGTCTGTTACATTTTCACGTTTAAACACTGATCCAATTTTGATGAATTTTGTTATAATGATAGATGATGGTACCTTGGAGAAGGTCATAAGCTTTATGCTGGCTGATTTATAGAATTTATACGATTATTGAAATTTTGTATGGGAAACTAAATACCTAAAGAACACGATAACTTTTTAATCTTTTGACAACATACCTAGGAAGTATGAACGCACCC